TTCTGGAGCAGCAGGAGTGAATCGTGTTCCAGTACACCTTTATCATTTTGTCCGCGCGCAATGTCAGTGGTTTAATACACACGTAACACGCACCGTTGCTCCTGTAAAGGTGTTAGTACGTAAGACCCCTTAACTAGTCCCAAACTGATGTGCTATCCTGGCACCAGCCATCACCGTGTGTGTAACAGCAACCTACAGTACACTTTCATTCACAGAGATCAAGTTAGGTGAACCTTTCAAATTTAAAAACTGCCATTAGAGCTGATGTGTTTATTCATCATTGTTCATTACGTGCACTGCTCGACAGATCCCTGACCCAGGTTACAAAAAACATCTTGTGACATTTTTGTATTTTCATACTGTTGCCAATGCGATTCTGATCTCGATGAATTATTAGCTTTGTCCATAAGAAATGTAAAAAAAATAAAGTAGTGAAATTCTCTGTTTCCCAAAGACAGCGGCTGCTCAGATGTCCACTTGAGAAGGCTCGAATCAGAGAATTGGAACATTTATTCATAAAGAAGGTGGCTCATATTAATTGTATTTAAATAGTTGGCAATAATTATAGTTGGAAGCAGAATGAAGTATTTGACTTGTTTGTTGCAAGCTTTTCTATGTACGGCGTAGTCTGCGGAGTTTTGGATCCTATGGAGCTAATGAAAGCCCACTCCGTTGGTATTTGCCTGACCTGGGAGAATGTGAAGTGTGTAGGAGAAAACTCAGGGTGGCTGTGTGAGAAAATGCAAAGGCCTATCTAAAGCCAGTGTTTGGTTTGTCTGTCTCTGGAGAAACATGGTGCTTCAACATGGCGGCCTCCGTGAAAATATTTTCATAACTGTCGTAATCACTTATGGAAAAGAACGTAATTCAGTTCGTTTTTCAAGAAAGAAAATCCAAACATTTGATGGTCCCAGTTCTCAAATGTGACTTTATGATTTTTTGACTATGGACTGTTGGTCAGACAAAAGCATTGAGTTGGGCATTTTTAATTTTTCACTGTTCCTGAATGCTTCATTGATCAAAACCATTTGCAGCCCGAGTCCAATAGTAGGACCAAATACCTGCAAAGCCTAATGCCATTCCCATTCAGCCTCTGCTGTACTTTGTTTTTAGTGCTGCAAATTAGCTAATATCCAGCAATTCTAAACACTAAACAAATATAGTAAACATAGTACATTGAACCTGCTGTTAGCTACTTAAGCCTTAGCTCAAAACTACTCACCAGGTTTCATTTAGACATCACCCTGGTCTTTGGGAAACAGAGATTTCACTATTTTGTTTTACATTTTATGGACCAAAGAACTAATCAATTCATCGAGAATAGAATCATTGGCAACAGTATAAAAAATAAAAAATGTCACAAGATGTTTTTGTAACCTGTGGTCAGGGATCTGTCAACCAGTGACGTAATGAACAATGAATGAATAAACACATCCCTCTAATGCAGTTTAAATTTGAAAGGTTCACCTAACTTGATCTCTGTGAAATGAAGTGTACTGTAGGTTGCTGTTACACACACGGTGATGGCTGGTGTCCAGGATAGCACACAGTTACTCGTTAGGGGTCTTACGTAACTAACACTTTACAGGAGCAAGTGCGTGTTACGTGTGTCTTACACTGACAGCCGACAAAATCATAAATTACTGGAAACACCACTGCGGAGAGAAAATAAGATGCTAACACGACACTGGGTGTCCCCGTCTGTGTGTGTTTCCACATAGAAATCAGCGGTTTAAAGAAGAATATCAAAAAATAGAGCTGCAGATGAGTCGGAAATTTGTTGACTTTAGGAAACATTTCAATGTTTACGTTTCTCAGAAGTATGATTAAAAAAAAGCAAAAAATCAATAAATCACAATTACAATACTTCACCTGTGGTTTTACAGCCCTAAAGACTTCAGTTTAATTAGACTAATCATACTGTTTGGCTAGAAATACCCACTAAGGAAGAATCAAACACACATGTAAACACACCCACGCAGAGTGTGACGCTTTGCAATGCGGGATGACCCCAGTGTAGGTCATGGATGCCCTCTAGAAACCCTAACAGTATCCACTATTAAACATTATGAAGACCACACACACACACACACACATAGTGCCCTGAGCCCAGATCAAAGACATCACAGAACCTCCAAAATGGAAAGGCCTGAGGCGAGGAGTGGAAATTGATACTAAGAGAAAACACATATATCCTGAAACACTTTGAGTGTGAAAGAAGAAACGTGTGCGAACAAGCTGTTAACATGTTACAACTTGTGTCATATTTGAAATCATTTACGAGAATCTTTAAATCAACAGCACATCACCTCATAAAGGTGGAGTTGTTCTCCGAGCGGCAAGCTAAAAGGATGCTGTCTGTTGCTAAGATACTAATGTGTCATAACCAGCGTGCTCCTCTGTTCTGCTCCTGTGATGTCACACTGGTAGTGGTGATGTACTGAAAATACCAGTGTAATATTGTCATTCATTTACTCAGCCATTCACAGGCAATGAAAAGCTTGTTTTGACTGGCTGAAACACTTTCACTCATTGTTCGTGGGTGATGAATGGATGAAGTAAAGAACGTTTACTGCCTTTTTTCCCCAGGATGCACTCATAACATTAAAGGCTGTGTGCTGTATGTTTTTCTGGCACACACACATACGTTTCATTCCATCATGTCTTGGGTTGATCAGGTCGACCCAAAAACAAGGGATGTTACCCAACTTTCAAAGCTGCATGCAATAAAAAAAACCATTTTAATGTCTTCCAGCGGTAATACAAAAGCTGCTGATGCCATAACCTGCTGTACCATCAGCAGGAGAAGATTTACTGCAGCTGCAAAAAGAAAAACCCTGGACCTGCTATTAAAACCACATCACCTCCGTTATAAAGTGCCATTATATAAAGAGCATTTGCACATTGTGTGTAGCACACTACTGCATGTCTGAGTGCATTACAGGAGGAACTATACAGCAGGATGATCCAAAAGTACATTATGGCAGCAGGTCTGTGGTGGCACTGACCCTGCTGAAGACGTTCACACCCAGTCACAGTGCACATCCACACCTGAGTCACCTCTCTGCAGGAGGTGCAGAGCAGAAAACCCCCTGACAGAGAGGGCAGGTTAAGTGTGACTGACTGACGAGCAAAACAGCATGGAGGCTGTTTCATACTTGTTAATAGCAGAGAGAGCTCAGCACACACTCATTCAGTCTAATTACATGTCCTGTCTGCCACATTGGTGCCAAAGTGGCCAATAGAAGAGTCTGAGCGTAACCAGCCAGCATTAAGAGATTTGTTCCAGGTTAGCTGGAGTGAACATAGATAATAGGTCCAAACAGTAAAACAGCAACTCTCTCTTTCACACACAGACGCACTTCTGTGTGTTTCCCTTTGATACGCGCCCTGCATGCAAGGTGTTCAGCAAAATGCCACATCCTCCCAGCATCCTTCCTTTTTCCGGATTTAACCTCTGTCACCAGCACACTGACAGCACGCTTCAGCCGGACTGTCATTCAGACAACTGAGCTCAGTATCCGTCAAACAGCACACAACTGTTAGAACACCAGAGAGGAACAACATGTTAAAGCTGGTGCCACACTCACCTCAGTGAACGACGTCCAACTTCTCTTTTCAGTTGATAATTGCTTTAATTACTGCGAAAAACAAACTCCCCCGAAGCTTTTCTTCTACCAAAGAGTGGAAACTGAAGTTGCTATTGACATTTTTATCCCGAGTATCCTGAGAGGCGCAACAGTGTGTGAACGTAAATCATCCTCGTAGCCACCTGGACTCTGTTGTCTCTGCTCAGCGCCGCTGATGGACGGAGCTCAGTCAAGCTGACGGCACTAGCCTACGACCGGAAGTGCCGCGGGCTCACGTACAAAATAAAAGCCTCGCTGTCAAGCGGACCGCAAAGCGCTCCGAGTGAAGTGTTTATTTATTTGATTTTAGGTACAGCCAGATATTGTTTTTCGTAACAGGACTTGACACTCATACTCCACCATACTTCAATAGTGATCTGTTTCTGTAATATTAATATATTAAAATCCAGTATGAGAAATGTTGTTCCCCGGCTCTCCCTTGTGGTTAATACAGGTATCACGACCCTTGTGCACCACTTTACAACACATTACAGTTACATTACCAGAGGTGGAAGAAGCATTTAGATATTTTACTTGAGTAATGAGGAGGCCTTGTGGTATTAAAATCAAAATGTGCTGAA